CCCAAAACCCCTGCAAAACCAAAGCCCCAAAACAACGAGACAACCCCCCAAACTCCAGAGATCTGTATCCTCAGCTGGTGTGAAGCAGCACAGCATCTTTGAAGCCGTGCGGCCGCTCGTCTGCTGAGAATCCAGGCCTGGAGCTGTAGTGCACAACAGCGGTCTGCTGTAAGAGACCTGTAGCCACAGGAGTTCCGGAGCGCTCCAGAACTGCATTGCAGCCCACCAGCGGATCTCAGGCGGTGTGCTGGTTGTACGGATTAAACTTTTGATGACATTTTTCATGACAAGAACAGCAGAAACAATAGGAGCTTTGAAAATAGACTATTTAAATAGGTGATAAAAATCTTAACACTAGTAGGTACACCAGTGTTCAATAAAAACTGTCTGTAGGTTTACAATAAATTAAAAATAACCTTTGGGTTTGAGTCTGATGCGCTGTGTAGGGAGACATGATATAATTAAACGTCTGGCTTTGCCGAGCTGCTGGAGTGCCTTTTGCAGGACTGCAGTAGTACATAACTAAGCGCTCTAACATAAATTATACAGTGACCTGTGTAAAACTAAACTGATAGTAAGTAACTACACTGGATCATAGCCAACAAAGTGTTGGTAGACTAGGTAAATTGAATGTGTTATCTGTTCATTTTCTGTGGAAGAAATTTAGCATATGCAGGTCATAATTTCATGTCTGTTAATGGACGAGTAAAAAATCAGGCCGCAGAACTTCTCAGAAACATGAAAAAATGAAGCTGTAGTTCAATAAAAATAATAAAGTGCTTTAAATGAACGTTTCTTATTTACTACATTGTTTCTTATTTTGTGGTAGACATAAAAATCAACCCAATGAAGTATGATAGTGCCCTCGAGTAAGTAAAACTGAGCCTGTTACTTACTGTAGTCAGTATTTCCATGTACTTTCTTGTCTTGATGTTAGACTTAGTTTACTGTGGAATCAGAGGAGAAGCTTATAGTACAGGTTGAACTTGCACAGACATGAAGATCATTATAAATATTCTGTATTTTAAAGTTTCCGTTTGCAAAAAGGTGGATATAAGAAGAAAGAAGCAAAAAGAGCAAGTTGGAAACAGTTCATATCCACTGTATGCAGCCAGCTTGCCTGAAATACACTGTTCAGTTTTGTAAGACAGAAGAGGGTTGCTGGAAATGTACAGAAATCTGAGAGTTTATTCCAAGTCCATTGAGTTATAGTTGCTATAATATGGATGCTTCTTCCATGGCTTCAATCCACCTAAAAAGGGCAGGAAAGAAAAAGTGGTACACATAAAATTAAACACGTGCAGTTTAAGAAAAATAAGTATTTTAAGAACATAAAACCTGAAGAGGACTGTATTTCCCATTCCAGCTCTAATGAGGAACTATAGGTTTGTGATTAAAGTAGTGAACTGGGTACTAGACTCTTGCATTCTAGTACAACCTTGACCAGTAATTTAATGTAAAATCTCAAAGATAGTACAAATGCTGTCTTAGAACAGGAAAGATGAAACTATGTTTAAAAGCAACAAAACTTCCTATAAGCACTCATTTCCTTCCCTGTGTGTCTTGAGGTGCTGGCATTTTTATTACTAATTTAATGACTATTATGTGGAAGCAGTAGCATTAGAATGGGAAATTGAAACAACTACTTGGTGATAAGGAAAGTAGGAGATGGATAAACAGAACACATCAATCAGTGAAGTTTCTGTACAGTAATCACGTTTGACAGAATTCTCAGCATGACTTGAGACAGCGTTGTCTTTATCTATACAAAGGAGCAAATTCTCCTTCCTGAAGGAACTGAAAAGCACTGGGTTGATTTTTTTAGTGTCACCCAGTCCAGTCATGAGTAATTTGGCTTAATCTGCACTCTGAAAGCTCTTATGAAGGCATTCTGAACTAAAGAAGAGATAAAAGCTCTGCATAAGCTTTTGGACCTGCACCCTGGCTAGTGTGGCAGTCTAGTCCCATACCTCTGTGCTGAGTTATCCTCTGCTCGGAAGCTATAAAAGAGAGTCTGCTTGTGGTAGAGATGGAAAACTGTATCAGTACTTCCTTCCTCCTTTTCTGGGGCAATGGTGAAACCCAACAAAGGCAAACTTTCTGTGGCAACTTTGTCCTGAAAGCAAATGAGAAGTGAACCAAAATTCAGAGTGAAGGCTTGTAACAGTTTGAGAGCTCTTTCTGAAAACTGAATAATGATACAACACCTCTCTGACAGGGCTGCAGAACCAGCAGTATGAATCTTCTGCTGGACTGGTGAGTCCTACCTAAACAGGAGCAGTGCCTGCATACTGCATGTGTTTATCTAGTCTTAGTCCTGGACTTGAGCACCACCTCTGGAAGTCCAGTGCTTCATGGTCATCCATGTGGCCATGAAGGCCATGTTAGCCGTTCCTTTAATTGCTGTCTTTGACATAATGGTCCAGCAGGCAAACTAGAGGCTACTGGGAGTATGGGATAGTACAGCAACAGGTCTGAAAGCCCACTCCCAGTTATCCATTTTTATTTGCTGAGTGCAAGAAGTAGTCTTTTTGGTACCTTGTAAATTTTTTCATAGCACTAGCAACTTTTTTAGAAATCTGCAGTATCTCAAACAGTACACTTGCTTTCCAAAATGGTGCTTTGAAATTTCTGAGCTGGTAATACAATTAACTAATATATGTCCAAGAAACATCCATGAATTTTGCTTGCCAGATACTGCTTTTAGAAGTTGAAAAAAACCAGTAAGCCTTAATTGAATTTCAGTTTAGCTGTTATTGATAGCTGCAGTTTTGGTCATTGTATTTAGGTAATGTTTTCTATATGTGTATGTTGCCTTTCCCTCTACTTTTAGAAGCTAAACTGCAAACTGAGAATGCAAAGTGTTATTAGCCATCTATTGCTTCTTCCCAACTGGTTGAAGTAGAAATTATCACTTTTGAGGGTTAGCAGAGGTAAGGTAAATGTATTGGATACAGAATTTGATGCTAATGGTCTGAACTACTTGCCAAATTGTGAACTCTTTGTGCCTCAAATCTCCTTGTCTGCTTAAAGGAGAAAATGTTGCTTCACGCAGCCACGGTGGTGATGTAAGTTTAAATAATTGATGTTTGCAAAGTGTTCTAAAGGCCTAAGTACCTACCAAATGTTGCTACTACAACAGTCTTTGCATTCTGTGTCCTTTGTTCAGCAAAATAAATTTTTTATCCTTCTGCTTATGAAAGCTGTCAGTTATAATCAAACTATATCACACTTCAAGTTTATATATATTGCAGCTATTCACAAAGGAGAAGAAATTGAACTAAGAAAAGGGACTGGCAAGTGACAGAATACATAAAGGTCTAGCTGATATCCAACCTCCTCGGCTGTATGGAAGAGCTTACAGGCCGAGAGACGAGTCATTATTCTCACCTGGGGACAGCCTTCTGTCTTTGTGTTGGTCCCAGTAGGACAAGTGCGTTCTGTTTATACTTGCAAAACTGGCTACTGGTTACCAGAGAGCACCCAAGTATCTTGAAACCTTTAGGTGTATGTCCACTAAGGTTCACAGTGGTTGATAGCTTATACTAGCATGAGTAGCAAAGTCAAATAATGGGAGGGCAGTTTGTGAAGAGGGCTGCCAAAGTCCATCTAGAGCTGTGGCTGGGCCCCTCTGTGAAGGCCAGCTCTCTGGGGACTCACTCTGTTAGAAGCGGGTCTCAGAAGGCAGGTAGCTCTGAGAACTGTCACTTACACCTTTCACATGTACTTGTGCTGCCTGTAGGGACTAGAGGAGGGAACTTGTTTAGGGAGCTATCGAAAGCCAGATCATACAGTACCTCATTTGCCACGTAGGTGTAGAGGACCTTGCCTTTGATAACAAACCAACGTTTCTTCCAGTGTCTTTTGCCCCTCTTACATCTGCTGAGGTAACCACTGATGGTAGCTCCCTCTCCTGAGGCTGTCACCTGGAGCAGGGTAGGAGAAATCATTTATAAGAGCACAGGCTTTTCCTCTCCTGGTTATGCATGCTTGCGCCACACCAGACAACCTGGTCTATCTCCGTGAAACCAAAAGTAGACCAGTAAAAATATGGAGATGGAGAAGATGTAAACATTGTACCAAGGTTCTTTATAGCTGCTTGAAAGATTTCTGGTTAAACAGAGTTCTCAGTAACTCTGATGGAAAATATGTAGTTGAGTTATTACTGAGGGCAGTGAGCTCACAGCTGTTTTCCAAGCAGCTGTACTTGTCTCTTTTCCCAAATCTGGCTTCTCTGGTATATTAAAAGTAGATGTTTCAGAAGGAGAATTACAGTCTTGTGGCTGAACATTTTTAATATGTGGGTATATTTAGACCTTTTGCAATGGTTTTCTATCAGTTTATGTTAATCACTTGACTATGACTTGGTTTCATTTGTGAAACAATATTTCTGAGAAGAGTTACCCCTCTCAGAAGTACTTTGAGATCTAAGCACTTAATGCTTATAAAGACAAAGATTTTGAGTACTGCAGACACAGTGCAGTGTACATCATTAGTTACAGTAGTACACTGCAATAGTATTTGCTTTAGAAACAAAGGGCAGAGGTTCAAAACCAGCTTTTGTAACACTGACAGAAAAGATGAGCAGTAATATAGCAATGTTCTGCAGCAGAACAGAAATGTTGCAGGACTTTGGTAAAGCAAATTAGAAAAAGTCCTGGAGCAATGTTATTTTAAAGCAGTTCATATTAATATATGAGCTGCCTCCTCGTGGAGAGAAGGACAATGCTTTTTTCCTAATGGGGCTGAAATTTTGCTTGCAGGTTCTTTCAGTATTCAGTTTGTGTGTTTATATGACATGATTGTATCTTTTGGCTCAGTTTCACCTCACCACAAATGCCTAGAAATTCCAGTGTCTCAACTGTACAATGAGTTCAGCAAGCTGTTTGCACCCTGTTATCTTTAATGCAATGATAAATACCTGCTGATTTCAGTGAAATGGGAGTACCTTACTGTGCCCGAGTTCAGTGGCAACTTACATCAACCTGATTGGTACCTTCTCCCTGGAAAGAAAACTAATATATCTGGAGAAATCCTGGGCCCCTTGAAATTGATGGGAATTATATTTGTTTACATTGGTGGGATCAAGATTTTACACATTTGATTTGTAATAGTTTGGCTTGAGCTGGAGGGAAAGTGCCTGATTAAACATGTATGCTCCTGAATTGATTGTCAAGGATGAGAGTCTGTTTTGTAAGTAAGTGGTATTTTAGTTCTCTTTAAATCAAAATAAGATTTCAAAAGTAAGGTCTTGTCAAAGAAAGCAACTAACTGTCATGCTCTGTTGATACTTCTTGTCTGTGATCTGCCTTGTTGTACTATCTTGTACCTTGAAGTTGTCTTAGTTTTCTAAAGACTTCACAGGCTGATGAGCAAATTACAGTGCTGTAACTGGGTTTCTTAATGGGCTCTAGAAGATCCTGTACTATCTTCAGAGCTCAGAGTATTTTGTATTTGAAACACTACTGTGAAAATCAGAAAAAATATAATTGCATGATGAAAGTAGACCAGAGCACTGCACACAGAATAAATTACAGCTGTTGAAGAATGAGCACAGTTTTCTACAGTTCCTTGCTTTCTCCAGGCAGCTTGGTCTTACCTCTGTAAGAGCAGAAGGGATCTTCTTGTGTTTCTTAAAAGATGAATAATGAATATTGTGAAAGACAGAGGAGAAGGCACTGCTTGGACACCTGGGTGAAGTTGGAGGGAAGCTCACACTTAGTGGCCGCTCTGCAAGATTAAGAAAATTCAGAAAAGGAAGGGGGAAATAGATGAATTGATATACATCAGATCAGGGGTAAGAGACATACAACACACTAGTGCAAATAACTAAGGAAGGTGCAGTGCCTCCAGAGACATTTTTAATTTTAGCTTTTCTTGCAAATGACTTCTTTAAGTCTGAGATGGGTGGATTTCATAGCACCTTAGGTTAATGTAATAACCTACAACTACTTGAAATAAGTCTGAAAAAAAGCTGACAAAGCACAAAACACGGCTTGTTTTCTATTAAAATCAGCATTAAGCAAATGGCTTTTCCATATATCACCTCTGTGTTCTGTAACACCTTTGTGGAGTAGATTCCCTAAGGGAACATTCCTTCTGTAGGAACCATTCTCTTTGAGTTCTGCATGGCAGAGTTATTCTGTCCCTGTCAATCTCCATTAACCCCACCTGTCTGAGTTCATATCTTCATGATCTCACTTCTGGCAACATGCATTATCTGGAAGCTCTCAGTAAAGCACAACACTGTTTTAGCACAAATCTGAGTTACCACTTCTTAGATACACAGTGGCTTGGAGATGTGTTGTTTTTTTTTTTTTTTTTTTTGGCTGTTGTGACAGCATCTATTCATGTGTTTGCTTGGCTAGTGTGAATTTCTGTAATCAGGATGGAAAAACTAAACTTCATGTGTCCCCACTTTTTTCCATGACAGTACAATGTGTCTGCCTTTACAGACTGTCTGTATGAATGCCTGTGTAAGAATACTATTTCCTGTTCATCCTCCTTTCATATATATGTAACCTGCCCCCTCCTTTCATCTTTTATTTCAGTGTGTAGTTAAATCAGAAAAGAGACTTATATAGTAATACAGCATTCTAGTTAGACAGTATCTCTTCTTTGAATTCATGCATTATCTGTAATCAGATTAACTCCTCCAGTAGAAAAGCCCTTAATGGCTCTGCATTTTACCTTTTCTTTTTGAAAAGCTACAACATGGACAAGGACAGTGAGGAACTGTAAAGCCATTGTTTTACTTTAATGGATAAATCTTTAGAAATTATGGGGAAGAGCTGTCACCTATAATTACATTACAGAACAGAATAGTTCAGTTAGAAGGAACCTGCAACAATCATCTAGTCCAACTGCCTGACCGATTAGGGCTGCCCAAAAGTTGAAGCATGTTGTTAAGGGGATTGTCCAAATGCCTCTTAAACACTGCCAGGGTTGGGGCATTGACTACCTTCTCTGGAGAGCCTGTTCCAGGGTTTGACCACCCTCTCAGTAATGAAATGCTTCCTAATGTCGAGTCAGAACCTCCCTTGGCCCTGCTTTGAGGCATTCACAGTGTCCTGTCACAGAATACCAAGGAGAAGTGATCAGCTTCTCCCTCTCCATGTCCCCTTCTCAGGAAGCTGCAGAGAGTAATGAGGTCACCCCTTGGCCTACTCTACAAACTAGACAAGCCCTGTGTCCTCAGCTGCTCCTCATGACTCAGTTTTAATCTTTATTCTGGTTTATCAAAAGGCCAGGGGAGCCCTCGGAGAACCTAGCTTGCTGAAAGAGTTTTAGCTGCCATGCAGCCTGGTGCTCCTGGTACCTCAATACCTATGCCCCATACTTGAAGTAAGAAATTCTCTTTGACAGAACACAACATGGCAGGCAGCTGCTAAAGCCTCCCCATTGCACAGGCAGGACACGGGTCTGTTAGTTTTCTCAAGGATGAAGGAATCTTACCTCTTTTCTTAAGTTCCACATAGCAGCTATCACAGACTTTAGCTGCTTGATCTTTGAGGTACTTCATAGGGTACTTGTTTCTTGAACAATTTCGACATACAATCTTTTGCAGCAAGGAGAGAGGCATGTAAATAAAATTTAAATTTATACATTTGCACATACAAAACAAATCCTCTCAGCTGGCTGGGAGAGGAAAGCAGACAGTAGACCAGATATGACTCTCTCCTAAAACTGTGGCAGTTGAGGTAAGTCTGCTGACTGAAATGTGATGGCTGTAGATTTACTGTTGCAAGCCAGTCAGAATTGATCACTGTATTTGATTATGCACCACTTCTGTGCCCGTCTCCGGAGGAACTTATTCCTTCCCTACTAGTGAATCACAGAAAGACCACATTAGTATTCTGTTTTCATAGCTTTGTTGGTAACGTTATTTTCTTAAAAAAGCTTGCATGTTTCTGCTATCCCTGTGTAGGTACAGGCTGATTTTCTCTGTGGAATTAGAAAAAAGATAAAGTAAACGCTTTTTCATATTAGCAAAAATTACTAGCAGTTTGATTAAAAAAAAAAAAAAAATCTCTAAGGCTGAAAGACAGCCATGGTTTATGTGGTTAAACATTTATAGAGTCAGTAATAAAGGCACAAAACCAAGAAAGCTTATATATCCACTTGGCCTTAGGGGAAAAGGCAGCAGCTCTTCAGTGGAACACTAGAGGACACTTTCTATTTGGTCACTGACCAAACGATGCTCTGCTGCTGAGTTTCTTCACTTTTCTTAGAAGATAAATATACCAGCTGTTGTTAGGGACAGGACATGGACTAGATGCTCTGCTGCGGGGGTCCAGAACAGAGCTTATATTTTTAGTGTATTGCTTCCTTGTCTAACGAGTGAGCTGTATATCAGAGATAATGGGTGGACTCAGCAACAATTTCCCTGTAAACCTTCAACTCCTAGCCTTCAGGAATTTGGCTCTCAAGGGAAGGTTACTGTTTATCCTGCTAGAGTCATTGTAAACTTAATTATCTAATTTAGCAAAGCACTAAACAGGTTCTGTGAGAAGTCATTCTGGTCTTGATGTTGCTACAGGTTTGCAGAACTTACAGGAGTGGCTGCCGGTGCCTTACAGCTGTGAATAAAGTCTCCCTGAGAAGCTTGTGCAGCTCTTACCTTCCCACAGGCATGGCAATGATGTCGCCTCAAAGTGAGGGTAAAGTCACAGCCACAGTTCATGCACATCATGACATGGGACACAGGTACCAACGTAGGAGGTCTCTCACCCAAGGGTATTCCAAGCCTTTCCCTTAGCTTAAAATCAAACAAGGTGAAATGAAGAAGCATCCACGCGGTCAGTCCCCCTCCATCACATACAATTCTCTCATTTCAGTCTACCTTCACCTGCTAAGATCACCAGATTCTATAATTCCTAACAGATATTGTAAGTGAGATACACCCACTTCAGCACTGAAAGACTGTGGTCTGTCAGTAGTGGTGCTGTTAAAGCCAGAGTCATAACAGGTAAAAATCTATGTAGATCTATTATTAGTCAGGCATTGACACACTTCCACATCAGACAAAGATCTGAGTCATTACATATGTGAATTGTAGGTAAGAACATGGCTTAAAGACATCTTTTTATTAACAGCTTTTGAAATAATATTAATAAAAAGCTCTATAGCTTTCCATTGGAAAGGGACAGAGCTCCTTATGTCATTACACCTTGGGACACTTCTGCAATCGGGGAAGAGAGAGCACAGGAAACAGTAAAACCAAGGATGACTTTACTTTCACACATACCAAATCTGCTCCATGCTGCTGTGGCTGATCTAGATATATGTAAGCAGCTTTAGCAAATTTATTCACTGTTCTTATTTCTTGGAACGCACCGCATTGCAGTGTTGTACAGGTGCTTTTGCTCCAAGCTGAGGAAGTCATGGTCAGTGTGGAACAGAACCCAGTCATGCTGGGAGGCTGTGTTAGTTCAAGTTCAGCACTACATTATTATAGGTACTCCACTGTCAGTTCACAAGAGATTAATGTTTGGCACAAGCTGTAGTACAAGGTCTTGTGCTTTTGAAGGACTAGTTGTTAGGAGGGTTTCCCAATAGGAAATTAGACTTCTACAGGCAAATAGGATTTAAACATTGAAAAGTAAATTTTCTCCAAATTTGTCCTTGCACACATTCAGGTTTACATCAGAAACAGAACTACAAAAGAATTTTTTTTTCATGTGTTGAAAAAGGATTTGGTTTAGGTTTCTATACTACTATATCTTTTTTCCTTGTTAAATATTTGAAAGTAGATTAGCTTCAGGACAGAAGGAAAATCCTGTTGTGTTTTTTTTTTTCAAATTTATTTTTTACTTTCTGAAGTCTTCAAAAATTAAATCACAGAATAACAGACTGGTTGAGGTTGGAAGGGACTCTGGAGGTCATGAGGCCCAACCCTCCTGCTCAGGGAGGGCCACCCAGGACCCTGTCCAGGTGACTTTTGAGTATCTCCATGGATGGAGACTCCACAACCTCTCTGGGTCAACCTGCGCCAGTGCTCCATCACCCTCAGAGTGAAAAAGTGTTCCTGGATGTTGGAGGGAACCTCCTGTGTTTCAGTTTGTGCCCACTGCCTCTAGTTGCTGGGCACCACTGTGGAGGGGCTGGCTCCATCTTCTTTCCACCCTCCCTTCAGGTGTTTATACACATTGATGAGATCCCCCGAGCCTTCCCTTCTCCAGGGTGAACAGTCCCACCTCTCTCAGCCTTTCCTCATGGTAGAGACCTTGTCCCTTCATCATATTCATGGCCCTTTGCTGGGCTCTCCAGTATGTTCATGTCTCTCTTGTGCTGGGGACCCCAGGCTGGACACAGGACTCCAGGTGTAGCCTCACCAGCACTCTATTTTTTTCCCCCCAGTTAATCTTAGTAAAACTGGGGTTCTACATAAGCTAAACCAGCATTTTTACTTTTTGTCAGATGCATTCTTTGCCTTTTTAAGTGGGAGGAGTACAACTGAATTTAATGAGATAACAATATAGATCAATTATGCTGGTGCAATTAGAATATTGTTGATAGGGTTTGCACTGACAGTGGCTTCACTGTGTGTATATTTGTTTAACTAATGGGTAGTTTTGGTTTCTTAAAATCTATGAAGTTTATAGCTATTTTTAGTTCATCCAAACTAGCTATCCTTTAGGACAAAATAGTCTTCCTCCAGAAATCCTTTCTAAGCAAAATCACAGAGTGTAGAGTGGGATTAACATTTTAGAGATGGCCCATGAGGTGTGATGAGCTTCCTTGTGTAAGCTTAGCATACTGGTTTAAATGAAAATAGTAAGCAGTTCTTGCCACTAGGAACTCTGCATTTTATACTTCCTCTCCTTTTATCTCTCTCTTCTTCTCCCTCCCCTTTCCCCTTTCAAGTACTGAGAGACTTGGTCTCCTTTTACCTCCACGCTGCTGTGGAAAGTGGAAGTGTTGTGAGCTTTGTAGTCATCTGGGATGTGTCTGCTGATGCAGCTGTACCAGTCATCCCTTTCCAAGCAAGAGCTGTGGAATGAAATACAGCAGAGCAGTTGGTGCCATGCACAGCAAGGATGGAAACAAACTGCTTCTGGATCAGAAGATAAATGCTTCACTTGATAAATGTTTGCTTTTCCCCCCTGCTGCATTGAGCCAGTAATTTTCTGACCAGGAGCGAAAATGACTGTTGGACATATTCAGAGGGTACTAGTGTAGATCCAGTGTTAGGACTGTGACTGAGAAGGAACTAATTGCCCAGAAATCTTTTCAAAGTAGTGTCTGACTTTGCTGTAAGCTGCTCAACCCTGGATCACATAGGACAATATGAAATATCTTTTTTTTCCTGTCTGCCCTACCTTTTTAGGCACTCTAGTGCATGCAGTGTTGCCATGGGTTGCTCAAAGTGGGGTTCTGCTCATCTCTACAGTAGGGTGCTTAGATCACAGAATCAAAGAATGTCAGGGGTTGGAAGGGACCTCCAGAGATTGAGTCCAACCCCCTGCCAGAGCAGGACCACCTAGTCTAGGGCAGGTCACACAGGAACACATCCAGATGGGTCTGAAAAGTCTCCAAGGTAGGAGACTCCACAACCTCCCTGGGGAGCCTGTTCCAGTGCTCTGTAACCCTCACATTTCTTCCTCATGTTGAGGTGGAATTTCCTGTGCTCCAGCTTGTAATGATCTACATGCTGGGAAATGCAGAAGTCCTTCACCCATGGCAGAGATGTGAATGCTTTAATTGTCCTCTAGCTCCATCACAGATGATATTCAGTCTCCTGGCAAGAGGCAAGGACAAGGATCTGGGAAGGACGTTCTGCATTCCCTCTAGTTGCAGTTGTGCATGGAGGCCAGCAGTTCTTCCAGTTGGCTCCTAGATGGCCCCTTTGCACAAGGCAAGACAGCGAGCACACTGCTTCTCTGCCTGTCCAGACATCCCAGAAAAGCAGCAAGGTTCTTTGTGCCTGTTACTTCCCAGATGCATTCGCTCTGTTACAGCCATGAGCTGTCCTGCCTCTATTAGCTGGTTTTCCTGCTGTGACTTCAACCCGTGTGCTTCCCATCCCCGTGCACAGCTGTGGCTGTTCCCAGTATCAGGCACAGGAGGGAATGTGACTGCATGTGGTCTGCCTGCCCCAAGTCATACCCTCCAGTCTTAAGGCTACCCAGTAGACTTTGCTGTAAAAATTAGCAGTGGCATCTTTGCCAGTTGCTGTTCAGCTGTGATTTCCTTGCACTATCCTCATGAGGGCTGACAAACATGACATCTGAGAACAATTTTTCTTTTATGGTCTTAAAAAGAAAAAGCACAAAAAAAGAGGAAATGCCAGATTTTATCAGTGAGCTCTGACTTAGCCTCCCTCTGCACCATAAGCATAAGGCCTTACCTGAAAAACAGCCTTTGTAAAATTCAACTAGCCTAGTGCAGAAATCGGAGCAGAAACTGAGCCAGTGTATCTTCTGCACACAGACTAACCTCTGCAAGCCAAGGGTCTGTTTTACAGGAGATATCTCTGGCACGAGTCACATACTAGTCAGTCATTATTACTATCGAAAGTTCTGTCAAATTACACTTTCTAAGAAATCTGAAGATGTCTGCATCTTCTGAGAAATCGTGTTCACAGCCTGCAAAGCACTAAAATAAGTCCTGGCTTCAGGCTTTCTCTTGCTAATTATTTCTTGGAAATACTGTTCGCTTGAGCATTAAGATGTAACTTATCATAGAATCCGCAGGGTTGGAATGGACCTGAAAGATCTAGTTCCAACCCTTCCCCACTCTCCCACTAGATTAGGTTGCTCAGAGCTCCATCCAGCCTGGCCTTAGGAACTTCCAGGGATGGGGTTTCCACCACCTCCCAGGGCAACCTGTTCCAGTGTCTCACCACCCTCAGTGGTGAGAGAAATAATTTAAGAAAACGAGGAAATCATAACCCATATAGTGAGATAAATGAAAGACGTTTTGTAAAGACAGATAAGAGGGACAATCTGCTATTAAAAGCCTGATATCTAACTGGTCCCTTCTGCTCCACTCCATTACACGTGTCTAGGTAGTAATTACAGCTATTGCTGTCTAAATGTTGGAATAACACCTGTCTGCTGATGAGTAAGATAAGTTATGTCAATTGCTACTGGCCTATTCTTCATTAGCTATTTTATTGGTCACGTGAATGCCCAGAGAAATTTTTTCTGAACCTCTGTTGCTCAGAAAAGCTCAGACCTTGATTCACTGTTGCTACATATGGTCTTTGTGTGAAGTCTGGGCTGCACTTTTTGTGCTGAGCTATCAGTTTTCTGTGTTGGCTCACATATTCTTCCTTAAGCAAATAGTCAATTTGTCACTGTAGTGTCTTGGACAGTAGACGACATCCATGGAACACGAACTGGACTGGGATGGGATTTTTGTCAGTGCTCTCACCATCACTCTGGATTAGTCTTTTAGGGACGTAATTGGGACTATACTCTCCCAGTGCTTTGGTATTTTATAGGAGTACCATTATGGTTACCCCCTGTGTCCAAGAAGAACATTCTAGTAATGCACATAAAGGTAATAGAGCAGTATGAGCCTTCTCCATAAAGATGTTACCAGGTCACTGCAAGCCAATAACATGCCTCTTCAGGTGAGCAAGCCATTTTCAGCAGGGGATGCAAAGATTTCACAGTGACACCTGCTCCTAAAGCCACGCTGACTTCTGATCTTCAGTCATTCTGCTACCTTTAGTCCCTGGCACTCCTGCTGGATTTCCTCAGTGTGTTCACCTTGTCTTGTGCAAGTGTAAAGGCACTGAGCCTTGGGTCGTGATTGCTAACAACTGGCCTTCAGTGCAGACTTGAAGCACCTCAGTGTGAGCAGTAAAAGATACAATTTTTAGGGATGCCTGAAGCTTTCTGGTGCTTTTCTATCTTTGGTGCTCCTTATGGTGAGTGTAAGAGGCCAAGGACGGTGTGCGGTGGGGTTAGGAGGTGTTTTTGTCCCGTCAGTGTCTCATCAGCTCTGCCAACCAGTACAGGAAGGAAGAGGAAAAAAGTGTTCTTGGGTGACTTGTGGCAGATTGGTCCCAGAATGACCAGCATAATGAGGGGAAAAGGGTTCTATCCCAGTGCTCTGATAAGAAGTCAGTTGGTGTCTGGCTGTTATCAGAAGGGCAACCTTAGTCTCGGGCCTTGGTTCTAGTTACTACCAAAGAAACACAGCTCACAGTGGCCTCACATCCTGTGTTTAGGCTAACTAAGCACAGACCTGATATGAGTACAAAAGGCAAAGAAACAATATTACAATGAAAGCAGAACATCCCAAGCTTCTCATTAGGGTTGCTAACTCCAGTTGCCCTAAATGGGGGGGATGTGCAGCAGTTATTTCCCTTCTACAGCACAGGACTGTATGTGTCCTGCTTTCATGACTGGCAACAGGTAATTGACGAGTATTGTGTGTATACTTTGAGGGTTGTCATGAGTGTGCAGCTCTAAGAAAATCTCAGGTATTTCCTCTTTTGCTTTTTATAAAAGGAAATAGGGAAAAAGGCCTTGACAGGTAGCTGAGCACTGTCCACAGATGGCAAGTGCTCTGGGAAGGCTGAGAGCTCCAAATTCTGATTCTGAATAAGAAAGTGCCCTTCCTGTCTTTCTATTGCACTGTGTAATTCTGAGAAGCCTGCTGTGTTTCCAGCCATGCTGTAGTTGGAGACTAGTGTCAAAAAAGTCGGGAAAGTGCTTAAAAGCACTGAAGACCTTGTTATTTGGAAGACAATTTTATTACCACTGCTAGCATGTTATATCTCTTGTACAAAACTACACCTGGAAATAAAGCCAGCAACCTTTCTGCTGAAAATTTGCAGGATAATCTTGGGATAGAAGCATGACAAAAGAGTGTGCGCTGCTACCTTCTGATCAGAAACTGACCTACAGTCTCTTTCTGACATTGGCTTGTGATCCTAGGACAGAGATCTTGACTCCCAGTTGCAGTCAGAACTAGGACTGCACAAACTCATTAATGAAATTCCTTTTATTAGAAAGACCCTTGAGATTGACCGGAAAGTTTAAGGTTGGCTTTGCCATTTAAGCACTATTAGATGCTTTCATATCTTTTGCCTGGTATTACCGAATTACTGTTTTCTCCAGCAATTTTGCAACTCTCATGATATGAGGTAACGAGTGAACTTATAAAAGGGAGACATAATATACCCTTAGTGTCACAGGGAAAAAGTGTGAAAGATAATGGAAAGGACTCAGGCTTTTTAGTAACAGACTTTCTTTCCTTCTTTAAGATGTTATCAGGAGCTGACTTCTAATCTTTACTCTGTGTGTGAGTTGAATTAGAGTTTATAAGCTTTGCATTTATAATTAAGATCTTAATTGTATAATCAAGCACTCAGCCATTGTTTGTCAAAAGCACAGAGTGAAATTAAGTTAAAAAAGAAGCACCAGTTAAGTCTTGGGTATGAATTCAACTAATCTAGGGGTACAGTTCTCGAATGCAGCACCTTCTGCCATGGCTGTTCGGGGACAGTACCTTGCTGACAGGGTCAGGCAATATTCATCATATTCAATCTTCAGGACATGTTGGGCGTTTTCTGTCACTGGGCGGCTGACCTAGAAACAAATGCCATGAAAATGAATATGGACATGAGTTAAACTCTCTGTAATGAGTACACCATACAAGTCTCAATGCATATGGGTCTGTGATGTGCCAGTCATATGTTTGATATTTCAATGCAAAAGGTGGGCAGGTAGGGTCTACTGTCTTCTGTATTGCTGATGTATTGAGGAATGCTCTCTATTTCAGTATGGTAGGGGTGGTGCTAAAGGAAACAAAGAATTTAATCCAACTGTAAAGGTAATGATAAAGTATCAATATGAGTTCAGTTTTAATATGACGAGCTTAGGAGATACTTAATCTGACAAGCATTTTGGGCAAAAGTTTTGGCTATTCTTGGAATGAATGGAAATAACTTTCTTCCTGACATGCAGATGATATACATTAGAGGACTTCAGTAAATTCCTGTCTGCAGCAAGGCTCTTGAAGGGCAAAATAAATACTTGAAAGCTACAGCTCAGCTAAAAACTTCCCTGCCAGATAGTGTACTAGTTGCCTACTAATAGCAAAAGCCACTTAGGAGAAACATAGTTTCATGGTACTGCTGTGTTGTTATTAACAAGCATCTATTATGCCAGTGTTTCAAATGTACCCCAGCATTTGAAACAACCCTACCATTAAGTCAGAGGACCTGCTCTGCAACTCCTCTGACTTAATGGTAGAGTGTTTGGGTGATTCCTACCCCAGCTGGGGAACTCCTAATTTTAGACTTTGGGGCTCTAGGGTGATCAGCCTTCCACCTTTTCATAACACCTCAACCCACACATGTCATTCTGCTGGAATGAACGATTAGTAATTCTCATTTTGCATGTTTTCCTAGATCTCCAGACACTGACTTGCCACTTCAAGTCCTCTTCTATATAAATACAACTCAGCACACTAGCTACAGAACAGTTATGAAGGTTCTTGTCAGGAGATATGTAATGGAGGGCTTGGTAAGAAGCAAAGACCCCTCTAGCCCAGTGTCTCTGGTTGCACAGTTACTGGTGCCAATGGATGCTTGGGGAAAGAATGTAAGAACAGGACAATTGCATCCAGTCTGTGTTATCTTTAGTTTAGAAATTTTCTGATGAAGAGACCGTGTTTACACCATTGCATGTAATAGTTCCTAACACACATTTTACCTATAAAGTTAGCTGATAGCTCTTAGAACCCATTAATGCTTTTCATGAAAACAGTTAAAGGGCACATGACAACCAGACAAATGAAAGCTTATGTAAATTTTGAGTGGCAGGAGTTTAAAACTAGGCAGACTAAACCCTAGTGAATATGTTACAGGAAACAACCATGCGCTGGCTGCAGGCATGAAGAGAGGAATGGACAAAACAGATTAATAAATCTTTTCTGTCTCCAGTGTCATGATCAGATGGTAAATCTGATTTTGGCTGGTGTTATTTATGCAGACTGAATAAGGCTGTCATACCAAGTCAGAGCCTTAGAGATGATATTTTACATGTTTGCTTTTTATTGTTTTCCCTTCTATTTACTGTAAAAGGCAAGGGAATCCCCTGATAACAAGTCCATCCCTTCTTTCCCCTTGCCGCATGTGAGACATAAACCAGCAAAGCACTAACAGTCCACTATACAACTTGAATTCCAGCCTATACTACAGATGAGGCGTTACCTTCATGCCTGACACAGCCAAGGTATTTTTCAGCTGGTATTTGCCATCCTTCTGGGGATATGTGTACAGCAGAACATCATTCATCTGTATGAGAAGAAAGACAAAATCAATAATTTGCAAGATGGCTTGCAGGCCTGCCCTTTACCCCTGGGGGCTGCCCAGAACAAGCAGTAACTCGATGGACTGCGAACACTGTTACTAAAGACAGGCCCAAGCCACCCAGCCTAGATGAAGACCTGCATCTCTACAAAGCTCTGGGGAGCTGCAACCAGGACTTCGATTTCTTCCTATTTTTGGTTGTTGGTAATGACTAAGCAAGTAGATAATCAGTTCTTTTTTATTCAGCTTGGGTGAAACTGCTGCTTGTTTTAAGGGCCAATGCCATCTCCAAGTTGGGGAGGCAGGCTCTGCAGTTACTGCCTGGCAATACCAACCAACTGCCCAGAGTGCAGCAGTTCTGAGTCCCTGCGGTGAGGGCTTCATGGATTTCCATTTTCTGGGCAAAAAGAGGTGCCACAGTCTGGAAGAATGATTCAGGAAGGAATGGTTTGGGAATCTAAGAGCAGTAACTACTTCACAGCTAGCAAAACTAGCCTAGACATCTCACAGCTTTGCTGAGTCTGTGGGCTGCACCACAGACCATGGAAGGGCAAAAATTAGAAAATTTTTGTCAGGAATAAAAAAAATCTGTACTGTGACACCGCAAACATTTCCATAGTTCTCACAGCTCTTTTCAGAATGCATCTTTTTCAAACAGTTTCATACTAAATGGCCTTATGTCTTCTCTACTCTTTGCCTAACTTAATTGTAGGCATTATAGCAGCCTTTTACCTTTGTGCCAACAAGCAAACGAAACAGCAGGACTGGACCTTGTGGGTCTTTGATGGCTTTTCCTTCCCTTACTACTACAAGGAATAGCAGTATCATTGGGCCTTGACATTGCCAAAGTAACCCTTGTGTGTATTCTCTACTTGAATAAGCATGACTGCTGGAACAAGTCCAGAGGAGGGACACAAAGTTGATGGCTCGAGCCATCTCTGCTATGAGGATGGACTGAGGGCACCTGGATTGTTCAGCCTGGAGAAGAGAAGACTCCAGGAGAACCTTATAACTGCTTTCCAATACCTGAAGGGAACCTACAAGAAGGCTGGAGAGGGACTTTTCACAAGAGTGTGCAGTGACAGGACAAGTGGAAGTGGGTTTTAAACTGAAGGAGAGCAGGTTTAGACTGGATCTTAGGAAGAAGTTCTTCAGTAGGAGGGTGGTGAGACTCTGGACTAGATTGCCCAGAGAGGTTGTGGATGCCCCTCCCTGGAGGGGTTCCAGGCCAGGCTGGATGAAGCCTTGAGCAACCTGGTCTAGTTGGAAGGTGTCCCTGCCCATGGCAAGGAGGCTGGATCCGATGATCTCTAGGGTCCCTTTTAACCTCAGCCATTCTGTGTTGTTTTGCTGTCTTTCCCAGGCCTCTCACGTCGGTACCTATATGTATAACCTTGGTCAGCCCATTGATTACTGTACTGGGATACTATGAAGAAAGATTTGCAAGGCAATGTAAAACCCAGGCATAGGCTTGTGATGCCAAAGGCAAGGCACCTTAAATGCAGAAATTCTGAAGATATTAAAAAGTAGACAGAAAGCAGCTTCACTTGTATTTCTCTGTGACAAAGACATTTAAATATAGCCAATTGGACGGTAATAACACTATATTTTGAAGGAAAACTGTTATAAAGAGAGATACAGAGAAGAAGGGAGGAAACTAAAGAATTATTTGGAAATAAAATAATGTATCCTGCATGACTAGAAATCTTGGGGTCTTGATAGTGCTGCCTGACCACCTAAAACTACTAGTGTAAAATTGTCACTAATGTCCTCATCCGAAAAAAAAATTGATAGTGGAGCCTCATAGATGTTTTTTTAAAAAGTCGTAATTCAGCTTTCTTACAGAGCAGGAGCAATGGTTCTTTAAAAAGCAGCTCATTCTTTTATTCCTGTTGATTAAGGATGACACCCTGGTGCATACCATTATCACAACAGCTCTGGTTAATATCCCAAGATTTTATTAAACATTAATGATGACTTTGCTTTATATTTGACCCTTGTAGGTTTTTTCCCTCCTGTTTTTCTCCACCACAGTATATAGTGGTGGGCTGTGACTGAGGTCCCACCAGCCACAGCTTGTCACAATGAAATTCTGGCAAATACTTCAAAGCCTGCGAAGCAAGACACACACATTCATGAAGAAAGAAAGGGTTTGCACTCACCACTGTCCACCACATCTACACTGGAGACCTGAGTGGTGGCTATATTAGTGCTGTGGACAGAACTAGCATCAGTACCAGTGATCTCATGCATCCTCCTTCCTCACTCTGCAAGCTGTTCCCCAAAGCAGTGAGGACTGGGCCATGATAAAAGCTGATCCTGCAGCCACTCAGGAATCTGTGGTAGAAGAGATCAACTACCACAACCGCCAGGGCAGTTCCCAGAAGTCCTTGAGCTTCAGACCCACGTCCAGTTTGCCAGAAAACTTTTGAATTATTTGGATACCGGAACTGCTCACATATTTGTATGGGGGCAAGTATTCATATTTTGCACTGCTTGATGCACACCAAGAGTCCCCAAAACAGTTGATAACTTAAAGAAGGATACATCTGCTCTGTAACTTTTTTTTTTCTGTTATTTTTTCCCTGCTTCTCTTAATAATCCCCGCTGCTGTGATGGGAACCCAGTAACATTAAAGGTCAGTGAAAGTTTTCTAATCTACAGTGTTCAAATTTATTGATCCAAACAAGTTTATCTATGCCTTGCTGAACTACTGGCATACATACATAATGCACTTTCTTGTATAAAAGCTCCTACCATGTGTCTGGTTTTTCTGAATGCTTTAAAGGTTAGTTTATTATGAACCCTATGTTATTCTGTTCCAGTCTGTGTTAAAAGTCTGAGTGTCAGTGGAGCAGCTCTGAATGTGTGCTGGGGCTGCATTTTGCAACCTGTGACTCCAAAACCTCCTATACTCCAGCCCTGCCAGCTAGAGCATTAAACAGTCTCCTATTTGACAGCAGCTTCCCGCACCCTACTTGCAACACAAGCAGCCTTTGTAAAGAAATTCTTGGAAGGGTGAGATAAGAGACTGTCTGAGTTCTGAAGTCCCATGTTAGGGGGGCAGTTAGGGGGCCTGCCAGTGTCAGTAACCCATATTGCGCTGCAAAGAGGCCCCAACATCCTTGTAAACAGAGACTGGACTCAGGAAACAGGCGCACAGCAAAACTCACCAAACATCCTGCCAGGAAACACCAGGTTCAACAATACCAGCAATCCGTGCAAAACAGCCAGCTCAAGAAACTCTGTGATGCACACAACATACGCCTGCAGAAACACGGGCCCATCAAGACCCCTGAACGTGTCTCCTCCAGACTCCTGCCTGCGTGGGCTGTGCACAGACAATGCCCCTCGTCGTCTGTTCAGAGTGCAGGCAGCACACCGCCAAAGCACAGGCCCAGTGGGGTTCTGGCATGCACCCCGTTCTTACAGCATGCTCTAAATACACCTTCAGCTTAGTGGGCTCATCTCCTGGGATGTAGGGGTGAGATTCACAGGGTTATCCTTCAGTGTATACTTTTCCACTGAAATTCTCTCCAGGTCCTGGGCTTGATTTAGTTCAGTCAGTTATTTCACTACTAAGAACTTCAGAACATGCTGTTAATGTAAACATTTAATTGTTAATGTTAAAATCTGGTTTGGGTAGTGGAGCTAAGTACACTTCATCCAAAGCTAAACCATAGTACCCCTATACATGTTAGCTTCTGATGATCTTTTTGAATGGCAGCTGACATGTGAAGCATCAAAAAGAAAAAGCCAGTTGTGAAAGGGCTTTTTTTTTTTTATTAATACATTAGGACAAAATCTTATCTGACCTGAGTTTTGCCAGTGGCTTCCAAGGAATGTGATATGGTCCTTATCTTCAAAGGGCTTTAAATCTGTTTTTTAAGAGACAGTGTTCAGGAGATTTCTAGACTTGGAGTCTTGTGCATTGGGGTTGGGTTTTTTTTTTCCACACAGTGTCTCCAGGAGTCAGAATCCAGACAGCACGTGGGTTGGGCTAGATGCACTGGCAGAGGGAAGGATATGTTCATGCAGGTCGTGGCTGTTACAAAAAGGTGTTGGCAGTGATGGTTTGTAGGGCCTTACGACTGACGCAATAAAGATGCTGTATGCCATGAAAAATACATTGCCATGGCTACACAGTAGTTGTCTTAATGCATCCACAGGCTAAATAGTCTGTTAAGCAATGCATGAGTGGTGGTGGCACAATAGAGAATCCACAGCACTAGCAGTGACAAGCAGATAACACAAAACCATTCAGGCGTTGATGCAGGAATTACCATATTCCACAGTGACTCTGCAATTTCACCATAAATGGCATTGCTCTGCAACCTGTGGAGCTGACAGGGTAGAGGAGACTGAGTTTAAAAAAAAAAATCACTGAACCTAAAGGCAGGTATTCACCCATAACTTTCAAACCGTTTCCAAGATCCAGTCACCCTCGCCCGTCCCCAACAGGAGACATAACACAGAAAGCTGAAATGGCTGCAACTTTTGTGTGTTAGAGCCTGGAAGAAGCCAGCTTTATGTCTCTTGGTTGTTGAAAGTGACCACTGTGGTTTAGTCTAGTTCCACAACATACTTTGCATGACAGCACGTATGGTCACAATTTGCCTTTCTGACTGAAAGGAGGAGAAAAAAAAAAAGCTGTTTCTGAATACCAAGAGCATCTATTAACAACAGGGCATTGGCTACTGTAATGTCTCCAGCTGCCAAGAGACACTTCTTTCTTTACAGTTAACATCCGGGTTTGAGCAGCTGTACTTTCTCCAGGAATTAAAAATAGTTCCTAAACTAGAAAGTGCCAGAAACTAATTTCTGTGCATTCTTTGTTCCAGTAATACTTTCAGCCTCTTGTGAGCTTCAAGCTGATAGAACCATTTTGGACTACTTGTAATTTACCTCAGGTTATCCCAAGTTTACTTTCCTCCCAATATTTATTGCCAATTTGATTTTTGATCTTCCTTTTAAATTCCCTATATCAGTTCTAATAGCTAGGTTTGTGATACTTCAGTGTTTGCCATAGTAGTGAATTGTGTTGGCAGTTACAAACACACTAGAAGACAAAATGGTAACAACTTCTTGGAAATTGGTGTCAGCTTTAGCCACAACTCCAAGATGTTTTTGTAATACTAGCAAAGGTGAGCGTTGCAGAAGAGGGATCAGTAAGGAAGCAAGTATCAGCTGTTCTGACATGGTCATCAGTAGGCTTCAGAATTACTACTACTGCACACACTGTTTCTTAAGACCATCTCCTGAAGATTCTGGCATGGCCATTTTCACCTGGCTTCAACAAAGTCCTGATTTTGATATTTATTGCTGTCGTTACAGTCCATTGATGCTGAATCAGTAAAACAGCACTTCAGCAATCTCATTTGAAGATGTGGGTGAAGGCTATCATTTTCAGCACGTGAAAGTCTGAATTTTCACAGAAACCAGTAAAGCCACCAGAAAAGTGCAATGCCAGCACTATGTCCCATCCCATCTGATCTTTGATTATGACTGCAATACATGATTGAGGAAGCAAAGAAGTTTGTGCATTCACTCATGCACAAATAGGAAATAATAAGAGGGAGAAATAAGAATAATTAATGGCAAAGTGTATGACTTCCAACAGGCCACCTCACTCCCTCACAATGGTCCCATGGTGAAAACTGTCAGCACTTACAGAGGCCACAGCAAATATGTATTCCAGGCATCTAAGCCATTTATTTTAAAATAAATTCTGCAAGCAGTACTTGCTAATAGCAGCCATGATGCTCGGTTCTTTTATGGCTCTTTTCTGGGAAGGAGCTTTAAAGAATTTTTCAAACATCAACAGGTAAGCAGGTAACAAACTTGTAACACACAGGCAAGTATTTTATCCTTTGTACTGGTAAGGGCATAAAAATGTCTGTGGTTTCAGAATAAGCTACCTGAAAAGTTGAGAAGAGAGCTCAGGAGCCTGGAGTCTCAGTTAGTTTCTAGCTACTCAATGTAACAAAACAAAAACCAAAACAGAGTGAGTATTAATAGCCTAGCTCAAAACAGTGGTTTTTCATCTGTTTGGATTTGCAAATATATGCAATTTTTGTGGATGTTTATGAAGGCTATTCTGGCCAACTGATGAAGGGTTCATTTTTTTTAACCATCTTAGAAGAATGTTGCAAACATTCAGTGTGGCATCATTGAAAACTGTTGCTCTAATCAAAAGGAAGCTGAAGAAATGTGTTCAGAGGGACTATACTGAGGCAATGCACACAACTGCCAGAGAATTTACGTAGATGTGGACAACAGGAACTAAAACCTAGTCCTTGTCCTTCAACGATACGAATCTCTCCCAAGTGAGCCCAAAGAGAGCTTTCAAAAACTTTAGCAGTAGGATGTTCTCCATTACTTCTGATCACATCTCCTAAGGCCTTGGGGCTGGACTTTCACATGTTCTTAATTGCTGAAAGTACTCAGGAGCTCCCATTCCACTGATGGCCTTGAAAACTCGCACTCCTTTGCAGCATTATGGCCTAGTTGAGGCTGTACGTACCTGTGGCACAAGTGGAGGGCTGCACAGCCCATATTCCTGTATGCAGGGCAAATGGGACATGTGAAAAGAGCTAGAGCCACCACAGCACTGCTGAAGGTTAAATGACTTGCAGCCTGAAAGTTTGTGCCAGGCTTCAGGGCTGCATAAGTGCAGGAGAAGATACAAGAGAGACAGTAAAAAATGCAAAAAAAATCTTACCAAGAACAAATGCCGAGGGTGCCTGTTTTTGCCAGAGACTTTCATCAGTGTTCCCTCTTTAACAAACATCTGAGGGAGAAAACAGCAGATTGTAATCCTGAGACTTCTCAGACTGAGTCATACTGAGAAATGAGAATATTCTTCATGGGGAAAGAGCTACTCTAACTGCTTTCATCAGCACAGGAAGAGGTAGATACCTCAACACTTGCCTCTAGCCTTACTCTTTATGATCTGGCTTAGTCTTTGCCTGGGTTAGCCCTGCTGCTCCTCAGGACTGGCATTTGTATCAGTACTGAATGGGCTGGAAATCCACGTGTTGTCAGCCCACTGCTCTGCACCATGGGCTGTGGCTCAGGAGTGACTGTCACAGATTGCAAAGCTAACATATAATGGGCTTCAGAAAAGAACTCCTGTCTTTAAAAATTCTCTAAAATAGACCAAGAAGAAAAGCTGAAACCTTGTGTTTCAACATGCTACATAACTATGCCTGCATACATAATCTGTACTTGTTTGCAAACACAGTACTTTTGTTGGTCCTTACTGTTACTAGTGGCAGGCTTGGGGGTGTCAAGTTAATGGTTGCACTTAATGTTCCTAAAGTTTTTTTCCCACCAAAACAATTCTGTGACCCTATGTATGTAGACAGAACATGGTATGTAAGCAGCTGAACCAGCACACTAGAATTCAATTGCAGTAGCAGTAGCTAGAATAGTTGAACTACATCAGTGGATTAACAGTAATGTACGCTTTTTGGATGGAGAACAGAATCGGTAGTTTTCCACTCCAGAACAATTTATAATCAGAGACCAATCCCACAAATTCTGTATGCTGGGCTTTGCAGAATTTGTTAAGGCATTACTTGGCAAGGAGAAGTGAGAATACTGATATTACAGAAAACGTAGAAGACGACTGCATTATTTGACTGAAGAAGGTTCTTACACTATGAGTATGCATGCCTTGAAAATTCTTCCTGAGTTTTGCTAAATGTACTGGTGGACTGAGGGAAATTTAGAGTTGCACAACTCAAGAAAAAAACTATCTTCAAATGTAGAGGCAGTTTGGAGCTGAGGAAGCTGGACAGGTTTGAAAACCATGAGAAGAAATTTCCATTTGATGTAGATGGCGAGACAGCTGTACAGTCTCCCTAATTTCGGTTCATGGGTTGCTTAAAAATGATGTCTTGCATTAAATGCACCACTAGGGAATGCAGAGA